TCACCATATGCAAATAAATAACTAATTAAAAATTAATATATTTTTAAAATATTACAGTTGAATTCAGAGATGCAATCGAATTTATCCAAATGGTAATTAAACCAACCGTAAAACAACAAAATTGACTAGATATAACATATATAAAATTACAGTATAAGTAAAGTAATATAATACTATTAATATAAATGATGCATACAAATTATAAATTAATTTAAAATTAAAAATAAATAATAATCAATTATTATTATATATTTAATTTAAAAATAATTATACCCGTGCATGAGCACGGGAAAATCACCTAGTTTTATTATAATTGTAACGTACTTCGATATATAAATGTTTTATATTCCACAAATTGACTTGAATTATGAGACAATAAAGGATATGATAACACAAAGTTACAAACCAACCACTTTCATCAGGTTTATACTATACAATTTGAAGTTGAGTTTGATTTACGTAAATAACTCAAAGTTTGAGGGTATTTATACAAAATACAGAATTTTACATTCCTTTTTTTTTCTTTTATTTTGTTTTTGCTAAACCCTAAAACCTTCAACGGCGGTCTTTGTATCGTTCTTCCTCGCTCTCCGCCGCATCACTTCTCTTCTCAATCCCTAAGGTAAACTTACTAAGTTTTCTTCCTAGACCTATCGAGTTTCTCCATCCTTATCAGCACTCAAAGATTGGATTTTGTATAAGCTTTAAGCGCAGAATCATGGCAGCGAAACAGAGAGACGCAGCTACAACGTATTCACCAAGAATCATCGCGAGAACTCGGCCTCCTATATTCAAAGACTCCGACCTCGACTGGACTCGTCCTGATGGCCGTGGATTCCACCAATGCCGACCTGCCTGTAAAACCCTAATCCCCCTTTTCTCTTCTTAAACGTCTGTTCAAGGGCTCTCTTGTGAGAGTCTAACTAGAATTGAAAGTTTACATCTTTGGTGAAAAGGAATTGTTTTTTTTTTGTTTGTTTTTGTTTCAGTACTTCAAACAGGTGCTGTGAGTTCTGCTTCTGGTTCTGCTTATGCTGAGTTTGGCAACACCAAAGTCATTGTTTCAGTGTGAGTGTTTAAGATAACACTTATCTGGATTTGCATGTTCTTTTCTTTTGCTTTCAGCTAATTATGTTCTGTGTGTTTTTGCTTTTTTTCTGTTAGGTTTGGGCCAAGGGAGAGTAAGAAAGCAACGAGTTATAGTGATGTTGGTAGATTGAATTGCAATGTTAGTTACACAACGTTTGCATCCCCGACTCTTGGTAGTCAGGTATGTGAGTTTTATTTTATACCGCAGGTTTGGATATTTTCTGTGTTTCTTTGTTTCAGCAAATTATTTCAATATGTGTGGTGCTTTTTCAGGGGACTGATCACAAAGAGTACGCATCAATGCTTCACAAAGCGTTGGAAGGTGTAATCATGATGGAGACTTTTCCAAAGACAACTGTTGATGTTTTTGCGCTTGTGCTTGAATCTGGAGGAAGTAAGTTTCATCATCACTCGGTACTTTCTTTTAGTCTCAACGATACGCATAATGCTCGTGGAAGCATAGGATTATGGTGACTTGTGGAAGCATAGGAGTATAATGCTCCTTTAAGTTTTCTTTTACTAGAAAAAGAAAAATATGATAGACGACTTGTGGAAGCATAGGAGTATATGGTGCCCGTGGAGTTTGATTATGGATGCAATTTTATTAATTGTTGTTTGAAATATTCTAAAGTTATTGAAATGTAATTGTATTGTATTGCAGGTGACCTTCCTGTTGTGATATCATGTGCTGGTCTTGCTCTAGCAGACGCAGGGATTATGATGTATGACCTTATCACAGCTGTCTCAGTGGTATGTCTATGTTACAACAGTTTCACCACTTCTTCTGCATTATTTCTCGAGTTTATTAGCACTAAGTGAAAAAGTAACACATACACTGAAATAAACAAGAGTGCCATGAGCTTGAGACATAATAAACCTACTGTTTATCTCTTAACTCTAAAACACTGACTGAGAAATGGTTTAAAGTCTTGCATAGGGAAAAGGCTTATGATTGACCCGGTTACAGAAGAGGAAGGATGTGAAGATGGAAGTTTCATGATGACGTGCATGCCATCTCGGAGTGAAATCACTCAGCTGACCATCACTGGTGAATGGACAACGCCTAACATTAACGAGGTATGCCTTTGGAATCTTCAAAATCCGACTTAAGGGTCTGTGTGGTTAACATATTTGCACTTAGTTGTAAACTAATTGGGCTATAGGAGCGTGTAGACAATGTTTAACAAACAAATTTCGAAATTTGCAGGCAATGCAGCTTTGCATGGATGCTAGTTCCAAACTTGGAGATATCATGCGTGATTGTCTGAAACAAGCTGCCTCTGCTTCCGATGAATGAACATACTCAAGAAACTATGGATTCCGGATTTGTTTCTCTGCCATTGGTATGAAACCGGTTTAAGCTGTGGTTTTAGGTGAAATTGAGTTTATACTAAACTGATGTGGTGTAGTAGTTGAAAAACCGATGTATTTTGCTACGTCAAAAATATGATCGAACAAGATATTTAAAGAGCGTCCTTTGCTGTATTACCATTAGCTTTCACTCTAATAGTGAAAATAAGACATTCTAGTATCGGCATAGCTAAGGGTGCTGTACTATGCCGATTTGAAGGCACGTTATCGCTCGTTCCGCATCTTTTTAACTAGAGATATGCAATTTCTTTAGCCGCAAGTCACGTGAACTCACCTCTCCATGATTGTAAATTACAAGCTTGATCATTTTAAAAAGCGTATGTCGTTACACTCCATCACCTTTTTCGAAAGATTTACTAAAAACGTTGTTAATAAGAGTTCCACTAAAAATAAAATGTTGATTTTTTTTGTGTGTTGTTAATAGCGTACTCAAATAAATTCAATTGCAAATTTTTAAAATAAATTTACGAGTGGATAATGGAATTGATGTTTCAAATAAATTTCAGTAGATATGAGAGTAAATATTTAAAACTACTTTAGTCTTTAGTAGTAAAAAAAGTGAATGAGCGAGGCAATTCGTGGATTTTCCAAAATAATCCAAAGATACATTTGAGAGATCTGACCCCCAAAGGCTTCGATTTAGCTAAACAAAAACCTTGCGCAGGATAGCGACCCTTTTTACTCAAAAAGGGTCTTCTTCTTCTTCCACTTCTTCACTTATCTTCCTCAGATCTCCCCTTTCACGGTATGCCTTTGTTTCCGTTCTTTTTGTGCTATAACATCTCATTTTGACTTCTGAAATGATTTGGTCGTGTCTGATCACTTGTTAATTTGATTTCCGTTAAAAAAAGGTTTGATCTTTTCATGTTCTGTATTAGATGTTTTGTATCTGCTGTTCGAATGTTTTGTAATATGCATACGATGACGAGGATGATCTGTGTATGAATAATTAGTTATGATCATTTCGCCATATAGATCATTAAAGTTAAATCCTTTGCTAGTTTATGATCCATTACATTCACTGATGTATTGATTCTTTTTGTTCTGTCATCAGGATCCTCTGTTTTTTTTTTATTGTTTGTTTACCTGAGAAGATGGGTGTTGTGGTTGTGAACTCCGGTGGGTTTGAGGTTGTTCCGGCTCCTTTCGAAGGAAAACCAGAGACCAACGGCAAAGGAGATAAAGTCTCCATCAAGTTTGGTTCACTCGGTGAGTCGCCAAAGAAAGCAGCCCAAGAGAATAACAACTACAACAACAATGTGTTGATCTCTGATGTACCTAAAGATGTAGCAGAAGAGTGGCCTGCAGCGAAGCAGATCCACTCTTTCTACTTTGTTAAGTACCGTCATTTCGACGACCCTAAGATCAAAGCTAAGCTTGAACTAGCTGAGAAGGAGCTTGAGAAGTTGAACAAAGCCCGTGCTGCTGCTTTCGAGCAGCTGAAAGTTAAGAAGGTAAGTTTCTTAAGCAAGTGTAGGGTTGACTTTTTTTTTGTGATTTTTCTATTCTTAATAATGTGGAAGTTTCCTTTGATGCATAGGCGGAGAGATCGGAGTTATTTGACCTGTTGGACCCGTTGAAGACCGAGCGTCAGGGGTTCAACGCCAAGTTTGATGAGAAAAGAAAGGAGATGGAACCATTGCAGCAGGCTCTGGGAAAGCTAAGGGGTAATGATGGTGGTAATGGCCGTGGACCTGCTATATGTTCTTCAGAAGAAGAGCTGAACAATATGGTAACAACAATCTTCTTGTTCAGTCATTTACTCATGAGACGTTTTTATTTTACCCTTTTTCATTTGGTTGGGGGGTTTATTGTGGGGGGTGTAGATATACAGCTACCAATATCGGATTCAACACGAAAGCATTCCATTAACCGAGGAAAAGCAGCTTCTCAAAGAGATTAGGCTGCTTGAAGGGACAAGAGATAAGGTCATTGCTAATGAGGCTGTGAGAGCCAAGATCAAAGAATCTATGGGTCAGAAAGATGATATCCAAGGTCAAGTTAAGGTAAGAGAAGTGTTGGTCGTGTCCTCCTAGCTTCTCTCAGTTTAAGTCTGTTGAAATTGCTTTATATGTGATGCTCTTTTTTGTAGTTAATGGGTGCTAGCTTGGACGGAGTGAAGAAGGAAAGGCAAGCAGTTTCAGCAAGGATTAATCAGCTGAGTGAGAAAGTGAAAGCAACCAAAGATGAGATTCAGGTCTTGGAGAATGAGCTGAAGACTGTGAGTGAAAAGAGAGACAAAGTTTATTCAAACATTCGTGACATTAGGAAGCAACGGGATGAGATGGTACAAACACATATACTTTTGTGTATCTTCTTGTGATGGAGAATGATTTGCGTGAAACTGAAATACTCTTCGATCTTTTTTTTTTGTTTGTATAGAATTCAGGGTTCTACCAAGGCCGTAATGTGTTGAACAAAGCTAGAGACTTGGCTGCACAAAAGAACATAGACGAGCTTGAGGCCCTGGCCAATGCCGAGGTTGAGAAATTTGTCTCCCTCTGGTGCAGTAAGAAGAATTTCAGAGAAGATTATGAGAAGAGAATCTTGGCATCACTTGATGCTAGGCAGCTCAGCCGAGATGGCCGGATGAGGAACCCTGAAGAAAAGCCTCTGCTTAGTCAAGCGGCACCACCAATGGCAAAGGCCGTACCTTCTGAAACCAAGGTGGTCCCTAAAGCTAAGGCAAAGCAGCAGCCAAAGGAGGAACCAGTTTCTGCACCTGAATCAGATGCTGCTCCTGTTGCTCAGAAGCCTGAGAAAGTGAAAGATGCAGTGCAAGTAAAGAATGTTGTTGTTGATGATGATGATGATGAAGTATATGGTCTTGGAAAGCCGCAGAAAGAAGAGGAGAAAAAGATAGATGAAGCTACGGTGAGAGAGATGAGAAAGCAAGAGGAGATTGCTAAAGCCAAGCTAGCCATGGAAAGGAAAAAGAAGCAGGCAGAGAAAGCTGTTGCTAAAGCTGCGGAAAGAGCTCAAATGGAAGCTGAGAAAAGAGAGAAAAAGGAAATTACTGTTCTTTCTCTTTGCTCTTTGCGTTCTCTCTTTCCATTCTAATAGTTCTCCATCATTTTTTGTGTTGCAGGAGCAAGAGAAGAAAGCCAAGAAGAACGTTGTTGCCGAGGTTATCTCAGAAGAAGTTCCAGAGGCTTCTGATGCTGAGAAGGAGATTGAAGCTCCAGTGAAGGAGAAGCCGCAGAAGGAGAAACCAATAAGGAACAGAATCCGTAGTAGAGGAGGACCAGAAACACTCCCAAGAGCAATCCTCAAGCGTAAGAAGTCGACTAGTTACTGGGTTTGGGCTGCAGCTGCTCTTGTGGGACTAATACTTCTTGTCTTGGGTTACTACTATGTTCTCTAGATCAAACGTAGTGATCAAGCTGAGGCTGCTTTGTTGTAGTTTGGGATCTTTTAACTCTTAAGCTTATGCCTCATTTACATGCAAGTAGAGAGACTCTTCCCTTTCAAAGTACTTTTACATATCACTTTCAAAGTACTTTTACATAGAAAACAGTTTATGTTACATTTTATAGCTATGAGAGTGTTCTTTCCACAGTGCTAGAAAACCACATTTCTACATAAGTGTCGTTACTAGTAAGCCTGAAAATGTAACAAGATACAACACTTTTATACAAAAAAGATAAAAGATTACATTAGCTTACTTGTTCAGGCATTCTTCCTTTTGTTTTTTCTCCAAGCTTTTTGCTTCTTCTTCCATCTTTGGAGATCAATCTTCCTCAACTTTTGACTACGAAACCGTTCTCTCCCTTTTAGCCAATCGGCATAATCCTTCCCGGGATCACACACTACGAAATCTGCCAACTCCTCTACGTCGCTGCTTCTCAGGTTGCCTTTCCCGGCCATACACCACAGAAATTCCTCCCCATTGCAGCTGTTCTCTTCGACACCAACTTCTGAATCCGAACCATTCTCTGCATCTTTAGCTTCAGACAGTTTCCTGCACAATCATGGAATTACGTGTAGTCCCGTTAGCCATCTTATAAATGTGGTTATCAACCCCCATGAAAGTGAAAAGAGGAAAATATCAATAGAACTTTGCTGGTCGACAAGGTTTTTCAGTACCTACCCCAAGTACGAAGTTCGGATCTTTTGGTACCTCAAAGCAACTGCCTCGCTCAGTTTCCTATCTACTGCAGTCTGTACCATATGACCATTGATTCATTTAGAAAAAAGCGCACAATCAGTGGTTTGCGTAAAGAGTTATTAGTTGGTACCTCTTCTGCTTTACCAGAAGCTTCCAAGTAATCACTGGATGGTATGGAAGGTGACGGACTTTCTGAGTGCCCAAGTGCTTTCACGTCACCTCCTTCTATGATAAATAAATACAGAGATACAACCAACCCAAAAATGGAGCCTTTCATTAGGAAGTCAACCTTAAGTGCAAAGCTTACGGACAGTAAGCCAGAAAAGTGCATAAGCATCCACTTAGATTTTGTATGTACATGAGGATGAGATTCCATTTTATCGTGCAGGAAACTTTGACCGGGTAAGTGAACACTGAACTTTTCGAAACGTTGAACAACATCCATTATGGCTTTGTATTCCTTGCAAGTTCGAACATCTCCAACGTCTTCAGATCGATGCTGGAGAACTCGGATAGCTTGCAATAACGAACAACTCATCAGCTTCAGTATAGATGCAAGTAGGTATAGATCTTCCACACCAGATGCGCTGTACTTTTGCAACACAGAGTCCATGACATTATCAGAACTAGCTCTACGTATCACGCAACCAAGAACTGATAAGATCTGTGCCAACATACTGTTTGGGTAGGAGCTCTCAAATACACTAAGGCTTTCCTTTGCGTATGCTACAGAACACGCTACCAGCTCATCATTTTCTCTCTTGGCGTTGTTACTTTGATACGAACCCCATGAAGCGTTCAGCTTCAATGTAACCTCGTTAACTTTCTCCAGTGTTGAGGGCAAAAGAAGATGAGTTACTCTCATCCGAGAACTACTCATCGAACGACCTACCTTCCCAGATGAGTTATTCTCTTCCTTAATCATGTACAGTGTATATAGAACAACAGATTTGTGAAATGCATCAATGCATCTATCAAAAAGCTGAAGGTCTAATCCCTTAACACAACAACTACTGATGGCATCAGAGACCAATAAAACCACATAGGCATGAACCATTCTTGGTGGAGAGAACATCGTGGGGTCTAGCAGCAAGGACGTAGCAGCACTCATGGTTAACTGAGGTGGTCTAACCGGACTAACTTGCTTCCAGTATAATCTCTCAACATACATCTCATTCATTTTCTCATCAGACACTGATAAGATAAAGTGAGCGGAAACCATCTCCACCACACCAGCCCAGTCATGCTTACTGAAGAGTATACATGAGGAGAATGCAGGATCGACAAGGAAAAGCAGATCCCTGATTGAATTATTCACCATAACCTCATCGATGAAAACCTGGACAAATTAAGGGACAAATCAAAAAGAGCTAGTAAACATAACACTGTCTTAAAGATTCAACTTAGAAAAGCCACAATGATCCACACATATTTATCAAGATTTACCTCAAGCCCTGTACAAAGAAACGTACGACGGGACTCGTCATGAGTGAACACAAAAGACGAACTACCCCCATACGTTGCAGAAACCAAACCACTGAGGACTGAGACTAGCGTTTTCGCTTTCTTCAGAACCAAATCTTGATTGGGGAAAAGTAAAGTAATGATCTTTAAACAGCATCTCAAGTAGAGTATGGCCAATTCAGTACGTTCTTCTTCACTACTTGCAAATGTGTAACAACTCTCAGCATTCTTTTTGCGTAAAGTAGAGAACAGGCTTTCGAAACTATTATCAAGCTCCATGAACAACACATCAGAGAGGTTACAAACATCAACGAAACTGATGGATTCCACTTGCTCTCCACTGGATTTGAGGTTCCAATTGTGTGAGGCAACGTCGCAACTATCCCAGTTTATCGGTTGAGTTGATGATAGCTTACTCAGAATGCACAACAGATGTTTCAACAATGGCTGCTTAGAAACCTGAGAGAATCAAAAGGGGACTACTCAAATTGTTGTTTCCAAAAATCCCCAAAACCCTAAAGTTCAAAACTTTCTCGACAGATTTTATCAAACTAAAGAAAAAAAAACCTGAGGATCAAAGAGGACTCAGATTGTTATTCTCCAAACCCTAAAGTTCAAAACTTTTTCAATGGGTATTATTAAAACTACTCAAAATCGAGTAAATTTTCGAGAGACGAGCTAATTGAACAATCATTTTCATAGTCAGGCAACGATTTAGAGGAGATAGATTTTGCGCGTGTCGAGGGGAATTGGAGAGACATTGTACCTGAGTGGAAGCAAGAGATGAAGCGAGAGAACGGAATAAGGTTGGATCTGAGATCTTCGAAGCACGTAGCTTCTTACTGCTCCGTGTGGCCACCATCGCCGGGAGTGAAGAGAAGATGCTCGTAGTCGGCGAGATTCTTCGATTGTGAGGGACTTTCTTTGTGGCGGGAAAGGACAAAGCATGCGTCGTTTTTGTGAGGTTAAAACAACACGCAGTTTTATTTAGAAAAAGGTAAATGTATTTGGTATTTTGTTTAGGGCTCCTGATTTGTTCTCGATTTCAGGCCCATTAACGGAATAGGCAGATGAAATTGATCATTTAACAATTTTTTTTTTTTATATGGAAGTTGTAAAAAATTTCAAATTCAGAAGCATATAAGGCTGTACCAATGACTATTGATCATTATGCTCTATGATTTCTAGTTTTTTTTGTTTTGCCTGGTTGGAGAAATGTTGGAGAGGGAACTTGGTGCTTGGTGGTGGGTCTGAGACAGAGACATTTGCTTATCAGTGGTCACTGTGTCCAATGTTAACACCTGGACGACGCGTAGCGTACGCCACGTGTACGTGTCGTGGGGATGGGGCCTATATACTGGCGATGATACAATGGCTACTTGTCGCGTGTACCTCTATTGGCCTTGCAACTTAGCTATCGTCTTTAAATGCTTTGGTCTCATTCACAATAACTCTTCTTTGGGTTCTCTTTGGATAACTGTAAAAATATATTTTCTTTTTGCTTTTTCTTTGTAATCACCAAACCAAAGATATCTTAATTCTGAAGCTAAGAAAGCTACTAATTTCAATTAATTGTTTGTTTAATTAAACTATTCAGCCTCCGGTAGTTTTATTTATCTGCGTTCAAAACGCACAGAACGCTCCAAATCTCTAGACTAATCAAATATGCACTAAATGCAAAGTCAGTGTAGGTCCATACCACTTAGGTTGTTTCTACTGCCGACAGAGAGAAGAAATAAGCAAAATTTAATTATGTAAAGGGAGTAATGAACAATGCACCACAACAACAAGAGAAATAACGAAAATACAGCGTCACAAGAAAACACAAAAAAAGGAAGACAAATACAGCGAGACTTGTGAGTCTCGTGTCAAGATCATAAAGTAAAACACAAAGTGGAAAATAAATTAACTTTCTTGCATGTGTGATATTGACATAAATAAAAAAAGTATCAAGCATACAAGAGAAAGTCACTGTAGCTTTTCCCCTTGCGTGGGTTTTGGTAGGTAAATGAATTAATTACGATTAGCCTTTAATGTGACTGTAAAAGCATTGAACTATATAAAGCTTGTTACGACTCAACTTGATATCTACACACATGCAACCTAACTATTTAGACGAAATAGATCGCATTTAACTCACCACTTTTCTAAAAGATAATCACCTAACTGCATAAACGTCGGTAGTTACCTACCGGAGCTAAAACACAAACACCTTTATCCCTAACCTTATACACACAGTCACATGTAAACGTTATGAATGTGTAAGAAAACAAAATACTTTATCGAACTTTTAATCAGATTATCAAATTTTTGTGTAACTAGAATGATCATGTTTAGCACAATATGGTGTCTAATTATTTATTACAACAAAACATCAATCTATCCAACTATACTGACGATGGAATCCATAACCAATAAAAGTAGAGACTAAAATGAAACAAGAACAATAGAATAAAGAGAAAATCAATTCCGACATGAATCTCAAGCCTCAAGAGTGTTATTAAACCGACATAAAGATGGTTAAGACCAGACTTAAAACTGTAGTTACCGACATAACTGTCATACCATTCGCAGATGATTTTTTCTCGTCTGGAGCTCCCGCCGGCGCATTGATATCACCGGAGCTTGACGGACCATCTCCGGAAGGCCCCATCGCCGAACCTGACGGAGCATCTCCGGTGGGACCCATCCCGGACGGCGGAGAAGAAATGGAGGAAGGAGATCCTCCCGGAGCTAGAGATGGAGAGCCGGCGGAAGAAGATTTTGGTGCCATTGATCCCGACGGTGAAGAACCCGGAGAAGAGGACGGAGGTGATGGAGGAGAAGTCATCGGAGACATTGATCCCGGCGGCGAAGTCATCGGAGACATTGATCCCGGCGGAGAAGTCACCGGAGCAGACGACGGAGAAACAGGAGAGGAGGATCCCGGCGGAGAAGTCGCCGGAGCAGAGGACGGTGAACCAGGGGAAGCTGATTTAGGCGGCGTAGGTGCCGGCGGAGAAGTCACCGGAGCAGAGGAGGGAGAGACAGGGGAAGAGGATTTAGGTGGCGTAGGTGCTGGTGGAGAAGTCATTGGAGAAACAGGAGAAGAAGACTTAGGTGGCATTGAAGAACCTGGCGGAGTCGAAGTTCGAACGGATATGACAACGATAGTAACCTTTTGGCCCTTCTTACAGTTATCTTTATTACCGCTGATGAAGTAAAACGGACCAGATCGATCAAGAGACATCTCAGAGTTTCCGTCGTCAGCTTTCTTGATCGGGTTCTTGGTGTTACATCCGTCGTAGTCAGCCTTGTTGACCTCTAAAACCGAGTCAGCTCCCTTGGCGTATGTAAAATCTGCAAGAAAAGAATCAAACTAAGCCTCAGGAAAAAAAAAAGAAAAGAAACTAATCTATGACAAGTAAGAAAGAAGAGGTTATTATATGTATATACAGAGTGTGTCGTGTACTAGGAAACGGCTTTTTCCAGCCCAAGATCCATAATCTTCCGGGGGATTTGGAACCCACGCGCCGCTACCTCCGACTCCATACCTCCGTGCGTCGGAGACGGTAGAGAAAGCGAGGAGGAATGAGAAGAAACAAAGGCTTTTGGTTATTGGAAAAGCCATGTTTTTTTTTTACTGAGAGATTATGAGACAAATGGGGTTTGTGTGTTGTGTGACAATGAATATATAGAAATAGGAATAAGGGCCAAGGCTAAGGCTAAGGAAAGTGAAGCTTTTGTCTTTATGATAGGGAGATGTCAAGTTATGGTAATACGTGTTTCAACTTGAGTCTCGTAACGTCTTTTGTTTCCTCATTAAAAGTAGAGTGACTCTATTCTTCTGTATCTACCGACGCGTTTTTAATTTTTATTCTTTTGGGATTTGAAAATTTTATAGGTTTCCAAAACCGAAAAAAATGTCTGTGCTACATTACGCGTCTAAAGAGATGTGACAAATGTGGTGGATTGTGAACAAAGAATCGGATTCAAACACGAATCTCAGAAGAACTAATGTTTCATTCTTGAGGATATGTCTAACAGCGAATCATATACTACTACCATTTAGCATGGATATGAGAATACTCTAAAGTCTTTTATATCTGCATCTGGTTCCATTTCCTTTTTTTTGTTTTCTTGAGTAAAGTTATCTTTACGATGCATGCAATAATTGTTGTAGAGAATTTCTGAATACATTTTGAATTTGTAGACTGGGCTTAGGTATGGGCCCTGAATCTGATTTCTTTAAGTGGTAAGTAGACCGTATAATCACTCTTCTTTACAACTGATAGACGAATCAGTCTTTGCTTGCCGTCTTGAGGCATGATGATTAGAGCCACCTGTTCTTTTCTCAACGCTACTTTATACGTTAACTAGAGAGGGGAGAGAGCGACTTCTTTACACATGAACCACAACAGCAGTGCTCAAATAGTCAACAGGATGATGAAGTGAAGAGAATGGCGATGAAACGAGGAGGAGGAGATGCAATTAAGCCGAAGAGTGTAGAGAATGTAGCAGTGGGTATTAATTAAACTGTTAAATGGCCAAAATTAGTCACCAGGATGAAGATATATACACGCCGATGATGCTAAGACATACCTCAAATTATGTAGAAAAGAGATATAAAGTAATATAGAGCAAGTTGTAGTGTAAAATCTATATTCTCACAATTCATCATAAAACTTTCTCTTGTTACTTATTACAAATGTGTGATTTGAGTCGAAGTCTAACATTCACACTTTCTTAATCTACCACCTAGCTTTGCTTCTGCTGTTGTAGTTGTTGTTTGTCTCTCGCCTTGTTTGAGCTACCAAAAACTACTAAAGAATCTCACTGTAAAATCCAAAACTATTGGTCTTTATCTTCCCCGAGATGTTTTCTTGGAGGGAGTGAGCTTCCTGAACCCGGCGTGTAATAGCATAACTACAAAGACACACAAAGGAAACATTAGATTTCATAACTGACTTAGCCATATATATAGTAAGCTAAATCAAACTTGAACAATCTGTTAGCTAGTTACCTGAATAACTGACCGCAAGAGCAGAGAAAAGAGCCATTTGGACATTCAAAAACGTCAGAAGAACCGCAGTAGCTGCAAGTAGGAGAAGTAAAGAGAAGGAGTTTAGCCTCGTTTTACTACATATATAACCACCCATACTCAAATTTTCAGTTTCTTCCAGATACCAAAACGTTCTTGCTATTACCACATATGATCCTATTCAACCCCAACTTTCAAAACATTACAGACCATTAAGCTCACCGAGTAATCTACTAATATCAAGCTCTAGTGATTGAGCTAAACAAGTAAATTTAAGGAATGATTAGATCCAAAAAGATCCCAAACCCCATAGAAGTCTCTCTACGAACTCATATCTCAGCACTCAATGATTAAAAGTAAGTTTATAAACCATATTGACATACAATCACATGTTAGTATAACCACCCACATTGACATACAATCACACGATAGTAGGACAAGTAAAGATAACGAGTTTAGCCTCGTTCTAATACATATATAACCACCCATACTCAAATTTTCAGTTCCTTCCAGATTCCAAAACGTTCTTGCTATTACCACATACGATCCCATTCAATCTAACTTTCACAACACTACAGACCATTAAGCTCACCGAGTAATCTACTAATATCACGGTCTAGTGATTAACTAAACAAGTAAGTCCAAGGAATGATTTGATCCCAAAACCCATAGAACATCTCTCTATAAACTCATATCAAAACGTTCTCAGCATTCTATGATTAAAAGCAAATTGCAGAACTACAAATGCAGGAACAAATCCATCATTAAAACTCACCACACTGTCCAATACCAATCACGAGTTTCCGAGCAGAAGGGTGACGATCAAACTTCCACCTGTCACTACAGTACTTGAACAGCTCCCAAAGTGCTAAACTTGCTAACAACCCCACCAATGCAAGTGGCATCTGATATCTACAAAAAAAAACACCAACACTTCAAACTTCAACATAGTTCCCATAAAGTTTAAAACTTTGAATAAAGTTCTAAACTTTACAAAGATCTAAACCTAAACAGAGAGAGACACAGAACACATACAATGCACAGGCGAAGAAGACAATGAACAAGGTAGCGTAATTCCTAGCGAATCTCTTGACATTCTCATGAACCCTCATCCTCGCCTGCTGAGAAGCCGCCGGGAACGAGTAAGAGTCACACGCCCCGAAGAACCCCGTGGTCCACGGCGGCGTATCGCCTGAGAAGTCATCGGCGGAGAGCTTTGAGAAAGGGTTGATTGTCAGAAGAGACGAGACGGTGACGAGACGAGTCAATAAAGAGGCGAAGAAGCCGTTGGTTATAGAGGAGACGACGTCGTCGGAGGCGGAAGAAGGTGCGGCGGGGGCTGAGGAGGAGGAGGATGAGGCTGCGGGGGCGGCGGCGGCGGATGCTGCGGCGGAGGTACGGTGGTCGAGGAGGTCGAGGTAGCCGGAGTCACGGAGCCAAGATTCGAAAGCAGGATCGGGGACGCTTAGAGAGAGAGGGTTGGGAGAAAAGGCCATTGTTGTTGTCGTCTCGATTATCTGTTCCCTCGTCTGTCTCCTCGGTGTTCACAAAACATTTATTTTGTCTTTTTTGCGTTATATTAATCCATAACTTCTTAGAAATTGCAATGATAGTGCTCTTTGATAAAACCTTGTCAATTAACTCCTAATTTTTGTTTTATGTTAGGAGATGATCTGTTTCTCTAAAATTAGAAATTTGTGAATTTATAAGTATTTCATGTGATATTATTAACAGTTAAATATCAAAGATAAGGTTTAACTTATATAAGTTTCATATTTTTTGTTATTGTACTTATGTATCTACTAGATAAATTTATCAACACTCTTGTTTTATCATTTTAGTCATTTAAAGTTAATACAAAAAATGCTCGATTTCAAACAAAAAAGGTAATCTACCCAAACCAGTTCATATATCACTTCAAAATGTATTAATTGATCATATATGAGAAGAAAATGGAAATAGTTATAATGAAAAAAAAATTATTTAAATATAATGATGTCGTTTGCATATTTCTTTTATATAAGTTTTACTATAATATATTTTTATTAATTTTTATAATTGTTTAATTGTATATTTTATAGTTATCATAGCTGAACCATAAGACCAAGAGATACAACAAGTAATGTACTTTGACTACAGGTTTAAACAAGTTTCGAGGCTACATAATCTGATTGGAACTATAATGTGAAAAGGATCATATTCAGAATCAAGCTCTCATTGAATTTACAAGAGGCAGGCACAACACAATGTACATGTCATTGACAATACAAAAAGTGATGATGAACATACGAATTATAATGTGAGAAACACTTGCAGAGAAACATGGATTTTAATATTTGGAAATGAAAAATCAAAGAATCACAAGAGGCGCCTCATCGGTTTTGGCAGGCGCGGTCTCTTGTGTTTGTGGCTCAGTCTCGGAAGGAGCTTTCTCATCTGCCTTCACAGCTTCTGGAGTTGGCTCAACCTTGGTTGCCTCAGAGGAGTCTTCTTTTGTCTCACTTTCCTTATTTGCCTCTTCACTAGACTCTTCTTTCTTCTCCTGTGAATAAAACATATCAGCAACAATAGTCTCGATAATTTATAGGATTCTTTAAGCTAAAATCATGCAAAAACTTCTTGAAGAAGAAGATCAAATCATATCGAACAGAGAAAAGAAATGATGAGATGAGATTTCACAAAACCTGAGTTAATGTGGTATCTGTTTCATTCTTGGACTCAACAACAGCATTGTCTGTGGGGACAAGGCTTTCGACGATGTCAGATTCCTTAGGTTTGCTCCCACAGGCTCCCATGGTTTATTTGATTGAAAGGATTAGTTTGAAAAACAAATTAAAATGGGAAGAACTGTAGAGCCAAAGAGAAAAGAGAACTATAAGAAATGCCAAACTAATTTCTTGCTTTATATAATTGGAGACTTGTGCAAATGGAGATCATATATGGTCTAAAGCTATTTCAGGTAAAGCCAGATTCATTAGTCATGACATCTTCAAATCTCTGTCATGATCTATTTACCCAGATGACAACCATTTTTTTCTCCACTGTTCTTCTAAATTCGGTTAAGGGGCAACGGTTTCTTTACCCGCTGGAAAATTCCCAAAGATAACGAAGGAATGTGTCACAAATAACCAGACTTTCATAGCTAGATGTTCAGATCAAATCATGTGGGAAAACACTTTTAGAGAATCGATGTTCAGATATGTTTTATGTTTGCCAAATGGCATATGATACTCAAGCCCCTCAAACGGGGAAGACGATAGTGTCTCATATTTGAAAGCTGGAAAAGATGGATTTTCTGTTCTCTCAGGCACATAAAATAAAATTATCTCGTTCTTTGTTTGGCTGGCTACTATGGCTCCTTAATGCGACTCTGAAGAGAAAATACTGGTTCACCGGTGTGACCTCCTTTCTCTGTTTCGTATGTTGTTGAGCCTGATCGGTTTTTAGAGTTTTCTGATATATCTTTCTCACCTATGTCCTCCCAGTCACCTTCCACTGCTGATGTTTCTTGGTGATCGCTCTTTGGACCTTGGTTCACAAGGCTTTTGTACATTGTTAAAGCTTGAGCAATCATGCTAGCAGGATTTGAAGCAGTACTTGGAAGCAACATTGTCGTACCCTAAATCCCCCCACAAAGAAGAAAGTTCAACATTAAATAAGACCAAGCAATGACAAGAGTTACATGTGAGAGTTGTTTGTTTACCTCCTTGGCAATGTTACTGAAGGCTTGGATGTATTGCTCTGCAACTCTCAAACTCGCAGCCTGCAAATAGTACAGTGATAAAGTATAAGATCACAATTGGACGGCTAAAAATAAAAGCCTAAACCCATGAATATAGATGTGACAATAAAACCATCTCAATTTGCCAAAATCCAAGAAGACAAGGAAACCTTTGTCTAGAGTGTATTAAAAAAAATACTATGAAGAGTTCAGTAACCAAGCTAGGTTCGTCAAAACTCACCTCAACTCCCCCAGTTTCTTTGAGAGACTGAGATAACATGGCAAGACCTCTAGCAGTTGCTTGTGCTCTAGCGAGTATTGCTTCAGCCTCACCTGAGGAACATTAACAAAGGATAATATAGGAGTAAGTATAAGCAGTGGAGAAAACAGTTCCTCTGGCACCAAGTAGTAATCAGTATATAGTGAAAGAAAAAGAAAATGGAACTAAAAATGGACACCACATGTTACTCTGAAGTATACTAACCCTGTGCTCGATTCACTTGGTCCATCTTTGCAGCTTCAGATGCCAGAATTACAGAACTTTTCTTACCATCAGCAATATTGATATGGGCTTGCCTTTCTCCTGTTATAGTAAAGCAAAGGATTAAAAAATGTTAAGCATGCTTCTTGTTTTTCAAAATGCAAAATGGAAAACCTAAAAAATAGTAAGTAGCTTTTAGCCAAGAATAGTAAAAGCATTATGAGTTGTAGTCAAAGCACTGTTCAATCTCAGAATATGACTTTTGAAGGACAAGTCAAAGCAGTATTACCTTCAGACTCAAGAATCTGGGCTCTCTTTTTACGTTCAGCTTCAGCTTGCATCTCCATAGCAACCCTCACTCCATGAGGAGGCATAATATCCCCTGGAGATCCACAAATTAGAAATAAGCCGAAAAATATACGTATCTAATCACAAACAAGGAGCAAACACAGAAAAACTCACTTATCTCATAACGAAGACACTGAAGACCCCAGTCTCTTGCAGCAACATTGATGGCTTCCTGCAAGAATGTAAATCCGTCTCAAAAAATCCATCACATGTTTTCTTCTTCAACGTGTATATTTCCTTTAACTCTCTTAGTTATTTGTAAAAGAGAGGCAACACAGCTTGGGATATTGAACATATACAGCATGAGTAAATCCCTTAGCTGAAATCTGAAATCTAAAATCTTCCTATCTAACTTAAGCAGAATACAAAAACCATTGCCATATGTGAATTATATGTTACAGCTAAACATCTCAAGTTCTATTGAGATAAATACAACAAAGACATTTAATCAAGCTAACATATGAAATAGAACTGAAGTATGGAAGGGAACGAACCACAATCTTCTCGTTGAGAGTATCTCTTTCCTCAAAGGTCTTATCAAGCGTGATCTTACCAAGCTCACTACGCATAGTAGTCTGAGCCAACTGCACAACAGCATAGATAGGACTCTCAACTCCATAAGAAGCTAACTTAGGATCCACTATCTGCAACAACAAAAAACAACAAAACAATTAAATCAAAACTTCAAAAAAAAGAAACAATTAAATCACCAGTAAATGAAGTGGTGGAAGATGATGACCTTGACATAGAGAACGCCATCGATATGGATACTAACGTTATCTTTAGTAATCGCAGTCTGATTAGGGATCGGAATCGCTTCTTCCTTGAGAGAATGAACATAAGCAATCCGATCAACGAACGGAATCAGGAAATGAATCCCCGACGGTAATGTCTTAGCGAATTTCCCGAATCGCTCAATCACATACGCTTTCTTCTCCGGTACAATCCTTACTCCCCAGTTAACCGGAGGAGTTAACTGAAAGCTACATAACATCATATATATATAAGTCAATCCCTAATGTTCCTACATCGTTCAAAAAATAAGCCTAAGCTGAAGGAAACCTGTTGGAAGGATAGCCGGCGGAGGTGAAGTGGCGGACGGTTGATGCTGCTGCGGCGGTGGGAGATTGACGGAGGTGAGCAACGGATCTCAAGGCGGTTACGGAAGTTTTACGGACGAGGTGATTCATTGTTATCGTTGGATATCAAATCAGAAAGGAAAAACCCTCCGATACAATAAATAAAACCTCGTGCTCTTCTTCTTCACTCTCTCTTCGTGGACTAAAGAAGGCGTCGTCACGCAGTAGTCGTGGAGATATGTGAATGGGTTTGGTAGCTGTTGCTATTGGGCTCAGAATCGGCCCAATTAGAAAACCTATTTGGGTATATGTATTGCTATTAGCTTTTTTTAGTCCATTTGTGCTGTTCATTGTAAACCAAAGTTCTGCAGTTTTGCAATTTTGTGTGTTATTATAGTTTTTCGTATGTTTAAAGAAATATAATTTTCATGGTTCTGTCTTGTAAGCATTGTTCTAATGCAGTAATGCTTGTTAAGTTTGCTTTATCTACTAATAGAATTTGTATATATATACTATTTAAGTGGCAATCTTATCAAATTACATTATTTCTTCTAGGTCCTCCAAGAACATATGTTATTACCTCAGGGCACGGTTTCTTTTTTTCTGTATTAGTATTATTTTTTTGTTGTTAATGCCCTTTTCTCTGAGTTGCCGTAGTAGCCTTAAAATGTGGTGCGGAGTAGTTATACAAAATTTCGAGAACCATCAAAACTAATGAACGTGTTACACTAAGAGAAAAGCGATCAAACCTGAATAATATTTCTAGTTCTGAAAAAGAGTTCTCAATCAATGATCTTGATTATCTAAAAACACTTCTTCGTGTGTTTAAATTCAGAATGCATGGAAAAAGTGAAGTTTATAATGGGATTTCACATGGGGAGGCTTATGTCTGAGTCATCAAATCGGCGCTGTTCGACTTTATGATACCGACATCAAGAGATAATATGGCAATAGTTAAAGTTTGGTAACGATAAAGGCTATTACCACCATTCAAATATCTCCTCTCTTTCATTATGTGTCCACGTCAACGCCATGCACCAAACCTCTGCGGTTCATTAAAATAACTTTTTAAAGACTTGAGAAGTTTCAGGTTATAACATATATTCTTCGTCTACCTTAAATTCTTATGATACATTTGTCACTTTAGGTATCCGTGTTAAGATGATAAACAAAAGAAACTATGCAATTAGAAAACAGAAGTAAACTAAACTATGTTGAGTTGACAAAATATAAAAGACATCATATATCGAACTATCTAGAGAAAAGGAACCTCTATATATCTATATATAGTTTTTAAGGAAATAATTTGATTTTATATTTGGTCAGATTTCAAAAGATGCAAGTCTCAAATTTCTTTATGAAGGAGATAAAGTAAAAGAGAAACATATAACATGGGATCCAAGGTCGACCAAAGAAAGGTCTTTTAGGGTGAAAGCTTATTGGCAAAGCAAAAAAGTGGTGACACACTTTACACTAAATCCAAGTCATTAGATCTAAAGAGCTTACAACATGACGACATCAACAACATGCACCTCATGAACTCTTCTGCTCCTCTGCATCTAACCCAGTTAATGTCGTCAATGTACACAAACACATACTCATATATATATATATACACGTATCTCTTCCCCTATAAATATAACGAAGTGTGCATTGTTCGAGTTAGAAAACTGGACATCTATTATAACAAATATAAGCTAAATAATGGGTGATCTGCAAATCGTGCCAGCGTACAACAAGGTAGAAGCACAGTACGTAGAACTGATGGTGCCTTTGTACTCTTACGGTTGTGAGAAGAAAATCAAGAAGGCTCTTTCTCATCTCAAAGGTAATTAATCAAATAGATATTAATGATTCAAACTCCATGTTATCTATACACGAATATATTAAGCTTATAGTGTTGGTTTATAACTTATAAACAGGAATATATTCAGTGAAAGTAGACTACTACAAGCAAAAGGTAACGGTTTGGGGGATATGCAACAAGCTTGATGTGTTAGCAATGGTGAAAAAGAAGCGCAAAGATGCTCGTTTTTGGAATGCTGAAGAGAATGATCAAGAGAGTGTGGATGATTCCATCGTCCAGAAAGAAGACATTGTTAAGACTTCTTCTGATGATTCAGATAAACCATCGGCGTTTTATACGTATTCTCCGTCGTCTCCGAGGTTTAAGAGACCTCCTTTGTCACTCATTAGGACATCTTCCTTCACATGGAGAGCTGTGAAGAAGGTCTTCTCTAGATCCATTTCCTTTTGACTCACGTTTTCTTCTTCTTATGAGCCTAATAATAATGGTACAAGATATATCACGTATCTCTCAATGTATAAATACCGAATATTCTAGTTTGAGAACACTTAACGTCAGCAACCAATATTTGATGATAGTTCAATGGTCATGGCTTTGTTCATCTATTATATGTTTAAGATCTATGTTTTTTGTCACGTTCTTCCTGAGATACTATAAATAAGAAGTTCTAGTTGATAAGATCGCTGCTATAATGTTTCAGTGATCAGCGTTGTGTTGTTTCAAGGTCAAATATCCACCCTCTTGAACCAAATGCTTCATCTTTTCACTCTCTCTGCTCATTGTTTCTTCTGTTTATGTATCTTTTAAGCTTCAACAATATGGCGTGAAGGGGGTTTAGCAACCGGCTATTCTCAATTTTTTTGAATACCAAAAGGTTCAGACCCGAAGTTCGTAATTCCCAAGTCTGAAACCACACCACATCATATAATATTAGTTTTGTCCTATCAGTCCATCTCCGACACAATGATCATGATCTTTTCTACATGAGCTAACTACCTCTTATGTTACATCTAAATTTGAAGAAACAGAGAAGCAGGGACCTAATCTAATGAGAAAGTAGACAGAGATCAAACACCTTAAATTGAATTTGGAGCTATACTCTTAAAAGATTTAAGACAAATCAACCAAGACAATAATGTTCAGTTGCAATAGAAATGGCACAGTGGTATCATCAGAGATTCATCTACTTATGGCTGCTGCTGCTGCTTGTACTCTTCTTTTTCAGTAAGTTTCCAAACTTCCGGAGCAGTGGCTTCTTCTTTTTCTGCTGTTGTTCTTTTGGAAGCAGACTCCCAGCATCTTCAGCGTGGTCTGCAGAAGACAAACCATTGCTTAACTGATCGAAATTTTCACTACCCTCTGCTTTCGATTCATCTTCCTCTTCAGCAAAATCGTGCTCTGACTCTCTCTCTGAAGAAGCTTCTTTCTTTTCTATATGGTATCCTTCCCACGTCTTGAACCCTCCTTCCATGGAGTCTTTATCTTTGTCTCCTTTTCCTACTCCTTCAGCCTTGTGAGCTAACCAATGCATTGGTGAGGCCTCTTTCAGATGTTTATCAATGGCTTCCAATGGACTTTCTTGAACCTTTTGTTCTTCAGCTATATGGTGAGAAGGTTCGCTTCTAGTAGTCTCTTCTATGCACTTGAAACCATTTTCCTCTGAAGATTCTACAGCTTTGGGGATTAAGTCATGACCATTTTCATTCTCTTGTATGGAAGAAGCTTTTGCTAGCAACGTTGTTAACTCTTCAATCTTCTTAAGCGCGGAAGCCTCTTTAGCCTTCAGCTCAACGTTATCATGAATCACAGCCTGCAACTCGGTTTCTTTGTCAAGTAGACTCTCTTTCATCTTTGACAGCTCCTCTATCTTCTTTCCTGCTGCAGCTTCCTGCACTTTAAGCTCTTGATTTTCTTGATTAATTCTTTGAAAGTCGTTTTCCTTGTCAACCCAACTCTGCTTGAGATGTAACAACTCGTCAATCTTCTTCAAAGATGATTCCTCTTTGGCCTTAAGCTCCTCGTTCTCATGGAAAGCGCCTTGCAACTCCTTCTCTTTATCAAGTAAACTCTCTTTAAGGTTTGTCAACTCTTCAATCTTCTGAACAGATGAGGCTGCTTCGGCCTTGAGCTTCTCATTCTCCATAATTGCATTTTTCAGCTCATTTTCTTTCTCAACCAAGTTTCGTTTAAGATCAGACAGCTCTTCTATTGTCTTAAGAGATGAAGCCTCTTTGGATTTGAGCTCCTCGTTTTCGTTAACAACATCCTGTAGCTCACTCTCTTTTACGAGCAAGCTTTTATTTAGATTTGAAAGCTCTTCAATCTTCTTTTGAGATAGAGAGTCTTTGGCTTTAAGGTCTTCAATCTCAAGGACCATACCATCAAGCTCATTTTCTTTATCGACAATACTTTCTTGCAGCATAGCTAACTCTTCAATTCTCTTGAGATAGGCAGCCTCCCTTTCTCTAAGCTCTTCATTTTCTTGAGTAGAACTCTGGAGTTTTGTTTCTTTATCAGCAAGGATTTCAGTTATTGTTGACAACTCTTCAATCTTCTTATGATAAGAAGACTCGCTTTCTCTTAACTTCTCATTTTCTTGAACGGCGGACAACAGTTTGGCTTCTTCCTCAGCTAACCTCTCATTCGCCAATGACAACTCCTCCACCTTCTTGATATATACAGCCTCTCTTTCTTTGAGCACCTCAATCTCTTGAATGGTGCTCTGCAACTTGGTTTCTTTATCAGCCAATTTCTCATTCACTGCTGACAACTCTTCAATCTTCTTCAAACAATCAAGCTCTCTTCTTCTAAGCTCTTCAGCTTCTTGAACAACGCTCAACAGTTTGGTTTCTTTCTCAACCAAGCTTACATTCGTTGCTGACAACTCTTCTATCTTCTTGAGATAATCAATCTCCTTCTCTCTTAGCTCCTCCGCTTCTTGAACAATGCACTGCAGTTTTGTTTCTTTATCCACCAAGCTTTCATTCACCTTTGACAATTCATCTATCTTTGCGAGAGAAGAAACCTCCAATTCTCTGAGCTTTTTGATTTCTTCAATAGCGTTCTTTAGCTCGTTGTCTTTCTCCAACAAGCTTTCTTTAAGTTTCATGCTTTCAGCTTTACCTTCTTCAACTCTTTCTAGCAGATTCCTAAGCTCCTCCTCAAGCTCCTTAAGATTCTTTTTGGTATTGGCTTCTTCTTCTCTTGCTTCTCGCGCCTCAATCTCCTTAAGATTAAGTAAATTCTCCACCTTGCTAAGTTCTCCCTGCACAGAGAACTTCTCATCTTCTGATTTCTTCACACAACCCATCAAATGAAGTTCTCTCTGTTCCCACTCAGTCTTCGAATTGACGATCTCATTCTGAGTGTTTTCCAAACTTCTTTTCAGGCTATCAATTTCGTTTCTTGCATCTTCAAGCATTTTTTCATACTTCTCATTTGTCTCTCTCTCAGCAACCTTCAAACTTTCAATCTGGTTTCCAAAATCTTCAAGCTCTGCTTGACATGTCAAGAGCTTCTCCTTAGCTTCCCCTGCTTCCTTAGATACTTCCTGCAAATCCAAAGTTAAGCTTTCCATAGCTTTCTTGCTTTTCTCTTCTTCCTTCTTACTGTTCTCCAATTCTTTCTCAAGTTCTATATTTTCATTCAGTAGGTTCTCAGCATGTGATTTTGCAGTTTCCTCATTCTCCAAAGCCCCAACCTTCTCCTCTTGGGCGGTTGCAAGGTCAGATTTTATTGACTCAACAAGCTTTTCAAGCTTCGAAGTTTCTTCTTTAGAAATGCAAACCTGGCGTTGAGATTCCTCAAGATCTTTCTCCTGCCTTGCAACCGTCGCCACCAGCGACTCAATCTTTTCCTTTAACGCAGCATTATTCAACTCCGCCTCATGAAGCGCATGCCTGTTTTCCTCCAGCTGCTTCATAGCTGACTCTAAAGATTCAGAAGAAGATGTCTTCAACTTATTTGATTCTTCAATTTGCTTTTCAAGTTTATCAACCTCGTTCTTCAACTCAGCTGCTAAGCTATTAGCACAGGACTCAACCATTTTAGCAGCTTCCAGATCCACATGGAGCTGTTCGATGGACTCTTCTTGAACCTTCAACCTTTTCTCGAGGATGCTAACATTCTCAAGCTTCCCTCTCAACATCTCAACTTCAGATTTCAGTTTAGACACAACCTCATCGCCTTCAGTAACTTTCTTTGCTTCCTCTGAACCAAGCAAAGCCTTCAACTGGCCTAACTCCGACGAAAGAATCTCCGCCTTCTCAGCCTGCATTTCAGCTATCTTCGTCGCTTCTTCAGCGTGACTTAGCGCCTTGTTTTTAGCATCAGCAGTCATAGCCAACTCTTGTTGAATCCTTTGGAGCTCTTCAGTGGTAGAGAGAAGTGCTGAGATGTCCAACGCATGCTGGCTTCTTATAGACTCAACTTCTTTCTTCCACGAGGCTTCCTTTTTGTGAACAGCTTCGATCCCCGCCTGTTCTAACTCAACAGCTCGAAACTTCTCAATCTCGGAGCTCTCCTCTGCACGCTGCTGAGCTGCCAATGCCTCCTTGAGTTTCTCATTAGCTTCTTTGTTCAGCTTCTCAAAGCCTTTGAGATCATCAAGTGCTTTAGCTTTGTCTTTCTTGAGCACTGCTATTTGCTCATTAGCTTTTCTCAAATCCTCCTGAATCTGATTCAGCTGAGCATGCAGCTCAAGTCCTTTCCCTAACCGTGACTGCGATTTCTGAAATTCCAAAAAAAAAAAAAATGATAATTAATAAACATAGTCTTTAAACAAGAGAAGCTTCAAGTTTTGAAGATGGTTTTGACTTGCCTCAGGAGGAGTAGGGACTCTTGCAGTTCTACGATCAGGAGTAGGCTTGGAGTTGGTTGGGCTTGCCTCAGGAGGAGTGGGAACTCTTGCAGTTCTACGATCAGGTGTAGGCTTGGAGTTAACAGATTGTGGGGAACGGTCTAGTGAAAGACGAGTGCTGTGCGCTGAAGATGGTGAACTGCTGTCTGATTTAGTTGTTCCTGCTGTTGATCTGTTTAGTCTTGGTGGTGGCGGAGATGGTTTGCTACGAGGAGTCTCCATTAAACCAGTTCTGCATTATCAGAAAAGGTACAAGTACAATGTCACAATCACATCTTGCTGTGGATCTATGGATCTAACTCCAGCAATAAAAACTTAACTTAAACCAGTAAGGAAACAGTATTCATCTCAGTTAAGAGATCTAATAATCATAAGCAAACATAGGTACTTTCAGTTATATTCCAAAAGCATATTTGTACACAGTACATTGAATGATCTGACAAAGTGACAGAACATATTGCATAATTCACAGTGACCAAACCAAAGATTAAGACTTTTTAAAAAAAAAAGACAAAATAAGTAGCTCCAACTTCTGCAAGATCCAAACCAGAATTTTGGAAAAATGAAGTTCAGTTAAAAATTAATGCAACAAAAGAAAACAAGATCACTGTATATTTCCAGAAGAAGCTGCCCAGAGAATGTGACCCACACAGAATCCATAAAAAGAAGAAAAAAAAAAACAGAACTACAATTCCGACAAAGAAAACAGAAGACAGCATCTCAGATCCAATTATCTTCTTTTCCAAAGTTCAACTAGTTTGGTTCTAGAAAGTACAAAAAAAAACAAAATTAAAGAGAATGAGAAATTACGTACTTGGTTCTGGAAGCCATAGTTGCTGAACTAGATCACGACAAGGAGACAGATAGATTTGGAAACTCAGAACAAGAAGAATAGTTAAAAGTGCCGAGAAATCTCAGAGGCTGCTAGATCTCCGGCATTGAGACTAAACAGAAACCCCAGATCGGTTATGGTCTATTCTTCACTTGGGTAGGATTGCTTCTCCACAAAGTCTTTAACTTTTTAAGGCAAAAACAGAAAGAGAGTAGTAATAAGAGGAAGTATTTGGTAGTAATGGGTTAATGGTGGTTCTATCAGAGTGGTCGCCCTCTCTCTCTCTCTCTCTCTCTCGTCTTTTTCTTTCACTTTCCCGGTTTAATTTTTTCAATTAACAAAATAAAGAAATACGAAGGATATGGAAAATTACGAAAATAGCCATGGGTTTAAAGTTATTGCCTGTATTAAAGGGAATGAAATAATAATAACAATAAAGTGATGTGTGTTGTGGACCAACTCAAGTATGAATGGTCGTTGCTCATAATGTGGGCAGCAGAGAAGAAAAAATCTCAAGCGATCTGATTTACAATCTTGAGATCCATTTGAAGTTCATCATGTGGACTGCATGTGCCTTTCAATTATTTGTTTATTTTTTATTTTTACAATAATCCATTTCATACAGCTCTTAATATTCTCATCAGTTCAGATTCTTCTTTGTTCCTTTTAATTTTTTTTTGTTTTGGTAAAGACCTTTTTAATTTGTGTGTGTGAAATGTAACTATTTTATGCATTGGTGGAGGAGGCCATGTTTGATTATTATGCATACGTGGATTTGAAACAAGTTAGCACAATGCCAGCTTATATGACCATTTGCTATGTGGACATATGTGTACAATGAAGAAATATTCTTTAGTTATATAAACACACTGTAATTGAACACTAGAAGCTGTTAAATTTAGTAAAAAAAAATGATAGTAATAGTTTTAAAATTCGTGTTTGAAGTTTTCTAAAAGTGATAATAATAGTATAGTTTAACATTTAAGATCATGTCATCATGGGGTGTGTTGATTCTGTTTGCACCTAATCTTTATACCTTTTCCTAAAGTTAATCATGTGAGTGAAAACATATTTTTTTCTTAAGAAAAGAATACAATTACGAATGAAGTGAATAACAAATCAAAGTCTATATCAACATTTCTCTTTAATCATTCTGAACTATAAACTTAATTAGAACGCACGTCAAAATTGCGGTTCGTAAAATGACTTTTGTTCGTTCACTTTAATCCTCTTAGATGAGATTTCCCTTTCCCATATTAAATCAAATTGTTAGTTCAGCTGTTGATGGTTTTGATTGGGAAACATAAAATTGCATAGTTTCGAGTTCATGAAGCATTTATTCACATTTGGAATTTGATCCTTTTTAGTAACTTTTTTAATTAGACGAATCATGGAAATGACAATAACTTTTGTTGCACAAGTAGTTGAAGTCCATTAAGATCTCTGTCATAAAATAAATTAATTATTGGCCCAACTAATTTAAAAGAAAGGAAGAGAAGCCTTGTAATAAAGACGGCCCATTTCAACTGAAGTAATATATATCATTCCTCCCACATCGCTTAGCAGCAGAGAAGAAGCTGAGTTTATATAGCGATGGAATCGAGAAGGTGATTGTCCCTTCGGGGACATCCGATAAAATTGGAACGATACAGAGAAGATTAGCATGGCCCCTGCGCAAGGATGACACGCACAAATCGAGAAATGGTCCAAATTTTTTTTTTCCCAAAAATTTTAAAAATCGGTTTCTGGGTTTGTGTTCTTCGGTGTTTTTTTTTCCCCATGAAAAAGCTCTGATTTTCGATTAATGCTAACTAAGACAGTGTAATCAGTACATTTCTGGAGATCCGATGGTCGGAAACGATGTTTCTACGCGTCTCTGTTTATCTAGACCGGCTACAATGTGTGAACGGTGAACCAATTCAGCCGGTTAGTTATTCGAGTTCAGATAAGCCGTTAGATCTGAATCATGGTGTTAGTCTCTAGTTGCGGCAGAAGGTTACCACCATTTGGGTATTTGTACTGATTATTGAAGAAAGAAAACATAATTTTTGCCAAAACTAAAACTGATTTTGATTTCAGGATGGGATACACAGTTAAAGTCCAAGTCCAGATCAGTTTTAAAACAAGCTTTATGACCCCTATAATGACTGTGTTGGAAACACTTACACATATCTATAATAATAAAGTTAAGATATCTGCCCCCACAATCATCCATGTCATTTTTTTGATGTGGGGATTTTACGACACGTGTCAAGCTTGGATTGGCCATAATTTATTTTTTTTAACCAAACAATTGTATATCTTGCTGGGCCTGGTGAAAAATTCGTAGCCCAGCAGTCAAACCTTTAGCTTCTAATGTCATGTCTCCGTCAAAGTAAATGATAAATGGGCTTCTGTTTGAATTTGGCCCAAAATATCATGAGTGTGGGCGATGTTACGCCAAGGTTTTCTTTTTTTTTTCAGTCTGAGGTTTAGATGTCGAATGAGTCCGCCTTTCCGTTTCCATTGAATCCGATCGAACTCTCTGTAACTGATTTCTTTCTTCTTTAATTCCACCATTAATCCGAGCATTAAACTACACTCTGCCTCCCCTCCACTCCGTCGCATTTATTCAGTCTCATCATCGGTGGAGAAAACAACTACAATCTCAAGCTATAAATGAATCTCTTGGCATCGATGAACACTTACACCGGTCAGATATCTGAAAGCCTAAGCACCGTCACCATCTCTAAATATGTGCACTTCATATGCTCTTTTCTCTCTCTCTAACTTTAGATTCCTGATTAATTTAGGAGATTTTATGTTTATTTCTCAGTTTCTCTCCTCTGTGAATTGTAGCTATCTGAGAAATTTTTTTTGGGAACTTTTAGTATAAGCAGGTCCTGTTGGTAAGTTGAACGCTTTGGTTCATATGAATAATCTTCACTTTGTTTCTTCTTTATATTATGTGGGTTTTTTATATTTAGAAGAACTGGTCTTCATCTGACATTAGGCTCCTCTGTTTTTTTTGGATATTTAATGTCTATGTTCCCAAAAATAGGGTGTTGAATCTTCATCAAGGTTATAGATTCATTGAGTTCCTTAGCGAGTAGTACAACGATTATGTTTTCTCTTTTCAAAGAGTTTTAACTTCTTTCTCTACACAACAGTAAACTTTTCTTTCCATGTGCAGGCAATTAAAGTTCTTAACATGATTAAGCTCCACGGAAAGCCTACGTCTTAACAAGGTGTCATTTTTGTTTGGTTTTGAGGGGTTGATTATAGTGCTTCTTAATACATATACTTTTCCGCTGAGACATGTCATGTTTCTTTTAAAAACTGTTATTAGTTTTCTCCAATACAGATAATGGTTGAGTTTGGATCATTTGACAAGTACATTCAAAACTTTGGTAACCAGAAGCCTACCCAACATCATTGGGAGCTAAATCAGATGTGCTTGCAGGTCACAAATTCCTTGATGCAACACTTCTACTGTGACAAAGAAACTTTTTTCAGTTAGAGCTTCCTGTACATGTAAGGTCATAGTTTTCAGCATGTTCTGTGTTCTGTTTATGTGTGTCTTAGTTTTGGTACTATCATTAACCTTATTGGAACTTGAATCTTTGTATAGCTGAGTAAAAATCACACCTTTCTTTTGTTTTTTTTTCTGCAACACTTCAGATTTACTTTTATATAGGTTGTAAAGAAAGATCAAGATGTGAAAGTGATTGAAAAAGCGGGTTATAACGATTGGTTGCCTCCATTGTCTTCGATAAAGGAAAATAGTAGTTTGAATGTCTTGAGTATTTTTCATTTCTGTGCTTCCCAGCTTGCTATTGGAAGCTACTGTATGAACACTGCTAGCTTTAATTTTTAAAGCACTTTGATTCTTAAGTTTTGAATTGATATAGGCAATGTATTAGAAGCTATGGTTCTGTATGTATGTACTTCCTATTTTGCTATTAGAAGCTGCCTTTTTTTTTTCCAACATTATATATCACTTGGTCGATTTCACTTTCACATGAAGCTATAAGTTTGAATACTACTAACAGTCATTTGTGTACTCGCCTTGGTGATATCACCCAAAGAGTCCCTATTATTACTCTCTGATTCTTAAGTTCTGAATTGAAACATGCACTGCAGGTCAAAGAAGATGTTGCTCATGGCATTCACAAAATCTTAGTTAAATGTGGTTCAGAAAGCCGAGGAGTCTACTAAGCCGCTGAAGTACCACTCAGAACATTCTCAGAGGCTGCTGTTGTTCGGTAGAGATAAAACTAACTTACATGAATCTGAAATGTTGTTTACTTAACTCGGCCTTATGGTAGAGAAGCTTTGTCTATACAAACCTTCTGTTTTTCTATTCATGAGAGAAGTTAATAATTAGAAACTTCATGTTGCATTTTGTTTTGATATTTGATTATTTTTTGATGCACTGTTACACATGAACACAGAAATCTATATGCATGCTTTACACTCAATGTATCAAAGCTTTCTTATGTTTGATGCTGTAGTCATGTGCTTTTGTATTGTTAGAAATAATATTTCGGTGGAGGGTTTACAAATAATTGAGCGGTTACTATATTTTTGTAGCTAAAAAACCAAAATTGAACTTGAATCTAATTAAGAATCAAATATCTAAAATACAGTTTATAAACTTTAAAATATTAATTATAATTTATTTAAAAGTACCAATACAATTACTTAATCCAAATACCAAAAGTTCTGAATATTCTTTGTCCATATTTTATTAATAAATATGAAAATTCATAAAAGAATCGAATTACCGAGATAGTTTTTGTTTGAAATATTAAAATTTATCAGAATTAGTGAAAAATTAATCTGAAAAACTGAGAGCATCTGATTTCTAGCCAAATTATCCGAAATCCATAACTGCACCCCATAACTGAATTAGGCTGGAAGTTATTGAATTAGCTGGTTCAATTGTTACCCGAACCGAATCGAAACTTAACCGAATTTCAAAATAATTTCTATATCTCTAGAATTAGAAAACCAAAAGTTGAAAGAATTAAACCGAAACCATATCGAAAACTTAATTTTTATAGGCAGTTTTGTGTGCTCAGTACCAATTTAATACATATCTAAAAGACAAAGTTACAATTAATAACAAATACACATTAGATGTTTTAAAAACAAATATACAGTAAACATATAAAAAAATAAACAATACATACGCTTAGAAAAAAGTATTCAACCAAATAAACCATATTCCGCGCGAAGCGACAATAGCTGGAATCGGCATGTTTTGCAAATTTTACATCATGACCAGGAAAACCAAACAATGCCAATTTACATCTCTTTATTTTTAAAGAAGATTTGGGAAAATACTTTACAATGAGATTATATATTGAAAATTTTATTATCATTTAATTTTTGGAAATATGCTTACTTATAAGTGAGATAGTTAAATTATCTAAATTAACAATTTAATTGAAGATAATAAATAACTTTTGAACTACATTTAAAATATTGTTTTCCAAACAAATTCAACAACAATAAGTAAAGGAAATTTTGGCTCCACAACAAAAGAAAACAATTATTCATTAAGTAACCATATAAAACTGTAGGCTATATACTCTATGACGTATTTATTTTCATGTTCTTTAAAATCACAGTTTCTCTATTCTTGCATTGTTACATGTCGATATTATTTTGTTTGATTACAAATTATTAGCATCTCCTTCTATCTTTATTTTTCTTTGACGTTGAACTATATAGATTCCTTATTTATTGAAATGCTCTGAATAAAACATATTTAAAAGAAAATAATCGAATGTTTGCTTTAAATTTAAACAAGTCCTAAAGCTTAGATTATCTGAGCAACAACAATTACAATAAAGGATGGAAGAATAGCAAATAAAAAGCCTTTTCTCAAAAAGAGGAATAGCAAATAAAAACCAATGTGATATTAGATTGAAATTATAACAAAATTAAATAGTAAGTATTGACTTAGTGAAAAACGTTAAAAAAAATTGTATGAATAAGGAATATAATTTTTTAAAGAGTATAAATTTGATTACAATGATGTTCTCTAAATTATTCTGTATTGAGTTTTGAGCTGAAAAGGTTAGAGAAATCCTAATGATACTTCAGAAAATTTATCCAATTGTTTTTAAAATACTTATATGTATTTACACTCAAATATATATCAATTACAAATACTAAAAACAAAAATACAAAATAATTTAGAGAACAGCATTAATACAAATATCAAGAGAAATACCTAAATATATGCAACATTGAGTAGTCTATGAAAAAACAAATAGAATGTAACCGGTGTGTTAGTGTTCTTGAAAGTGACCAATCCATCGACGCTAATATAATAAACAGTTTCTAAAGCTATTAAAGCTGCAAATGTTTTCTTTTTGTTACAGAACAAGACATGTTGTAAAGAGTAAAAGAGATTACATGGTTACATGATCAACATCAACAATAATGAAAAAAAGTTTTTAAAGTTTACGTTTGACATTCCAAGACAAAAAAACATATTGATTTATATGACAGTTACTTCTCTTTACAGTAAGATGTATTATAGTTTGTTATATCCTTTGGAACATCTATCCATGTCACCAAAAAAATTGTAACCAAATAAGGCTCATATGTTGTAAACAAATTATAAATTAAAAACAAGAGGAAGATAGGAAAAATAGTTGTGGCTAATAAATACAAAACTGATAAGTATGAAAAATGACAAAAGGAAGAGTTAATCTGATTCCAAATGATGATGCAAAATAAAAGATAAACAAAGAATGCAATTTATCTAACTAACATGGATTTATCAAATTTTAGATTCTAGACATGTTTACTATCATGTCTAATTATTGATATATATTAAGTGCAAAAAGTAATAATTCAAAACATAATATATATATATATATAAACACTAATTTAATATAATTATTGTGTGATGAAGTCCACATTTATAAATTAATCATAAATCATAATTAAAATTAATAATTTTCAATAAAATAATAAACAATTCAGATATTACATTCTCAAATTGTCATGCATATATTTAAACTGAATTTTAGTTTATAATAACTATGCAAAGACTACAATCAAACAAATATATCTCCATATGATCGATATATTTTTTATTTTCTAAAATACTATTAGAAAATGTTCTAGATTATAAAACAATTATCAAATCATATCAATATTAGTAACACCGGCGCTACGCGCCGGCAAACTCCTAGTATAATAGTGAAAAGAGGCTTATATACAAAAAATGTTTACATACAGCAAATATTCCAATGTTTCCACTAAATGAAAAAAAAAGAGATGATTACAACAAGTCATTTGCAAAAGCACTACTACATGTGATGAAACAAAAGAATCATTCAAAAGCTAGAGAGAGTTTTGGATCAAGAACCAACATCAGTTCGAACACCAGAACTTTTGAGAAGGAACTCATGTGACCGAGCCAGCCTAACAGCGTCTTGAACCCTAAGCCTGGTTCCTTGTTGACCCACCACAGTGGCTGCAATCGTAGCTGCTAAATCTCCCATTCCTTTCAAGTCAGTGACACCTCTTAAGATACCGTATAAGATCCCTGAAGCGTACGCATCTCCAGCACCACATGTGTCAACTGGCACGCACGGGGATGGTGGAATGTATATGGCCTCTCCTTTAACTCCAATGTATGACCCGTTGATTCCGTCAGTCACGGAAACAAATGGAACAAAGTGGCTCAAGTACCTTGTCGCTGAGATTGGGCTTTCTTCTGCGGAAAAGTGACAGAACGCTCTTGCTTCATCGCTGTTTGCAAATATAATATCTGCATAGTTGCCCACAATGTCCCTGGATCAAACAACAAAAGATGCTTCAGTTTAAGACATTCGCAGCCTGAAGCCTCAACTCTTCTTTGACTAACCAAGCTACAAAAGCAAAAGGAACAAAAACTCACCAGAAGTCATCGTAATGCCTCTCTATGCAAGACACATCTGATGCAGTTACAGCAACAAGCACTCCATTTCTGTGGGCTTCTTCACAGGCTTTAGTTATGGTCCTTATAGTATCAGGAAGCTCAAACAAATAGCCTTCCACAACAAAGACATTTGTCTTGGATATCAAACTAGCCAAGCAAGAATCATAATTAACAACTGAAGATGTTCCCTACAACAAAAAAAAAATTGGGGTTTGGTTGTTTAGTACTAAGTAGCATAGATTTGAATTTTGGATACTCAAACGTGTTGCAATAACAATTGATGATATCAGAAATTAGTACCTGATAGGCAAGCATAGTACGTTGGGCATCAGGAGTGGTGAGAACTATCACTGTTCCGGTTGTTCCATCCATGATTGGAGCAGAAAGAAAATTAACATTTGCTCTTCGTAGTTTAGTCCTATAAAACACAAGATGGACTGTCCTTGTGAGTAAATCAAACCAAAACCATGTAAAAACAAAAGAAGAAGAATCATAAAAACTAAACTCTTAGATCAATACACAACTTCAGCAAACTATAGCCTACTCTAGTTAATTCAATGACAGACATAGATCAATCACAATGTGAAACTGATCATCAAATCCATGGAACGATTGATAATCTATTCTAACATAATATAACCTTCACTTCCAATAATGACGAGAAGAACAAGAAAATGTGCATACAGAGCTAAAGTGGTTGAAGAAAGCTTTGTACCTGTAAAAGCTACCGAGAGGATCACCTGCAATACTCCCTGCCATAGCGACATTCAAAGGGCGGTCAGTGATGGAACGACAGCCTAATCTTGCAAGAGCAACAAGAGTGTTGGACAAGGACCCTCCAGCAGCGGCCTTATAGCTGCAACCATCCATTGCCTGTAAGACTCTACCCCTCTCCTCGTGGTTTATCAGCTTCCTCGTTCCCTTTTCTAAACCCAGTTTCTTTAGGAACTCATCATCCACAACTCCAGAGAAATCTACCTAAAACATCATCAGATAAGTCACATTTTTCAAACACAGGTTTTGCAGTTGGCTTCAAGGATAACAAGAACCTAGAGATACACCTTAATTCGATAAACAGCTAGTAATGTTATTGCGTGTTCAAGGCAGCAAAAAAGAGACTAACCATGGCTTGGCCGAGACCCAAGACATCCCATCTCTCAGGGGAAGAAGGTGAATCATCATCATGTCCTCCTTCTGTCATCAATTCCTCGTCATCCTCGTCTTCTTGACCTCCGATTCTCTCGATTTCTCCTTCATCCAAGTCATCCAATCCTCCGTTTCTAGAAACCATGAGACCCAATTGCCTCCTCTTCTTCTCCGACATGGAATCAATCCTCAAGCCGCCGAAAAACGAGGTCGCGGTTCTGCTGCTTTCAAGGGTTCCTTTGGGGCGATATATAGAGCAAATAGGGGAGAGAAAGGATGCATTTTTAGGAGCGGGAAAAGAGGAGAGAGAGGTAGAGGAAGGAATTGGAGAGAGGAGAGAAAGTGCCATCGATATATATATATAGAGTATACAAAGTTTTTCTCTTTCTGTCTTTCGGGATGAGGAAGATGAAGAAGAAGAAGCTCACATCTCCATCCAAAACCCGAGAAGAGGAAAGGAGCACCAGAAAAGTATGGTCTCTGCAACCTCTTAGAAGAGACGACGGCTTGTGAGGATAAAATGACTTTCTACGCTCTCTTTTTTAATATTAAGGATTAGTAATCGCCGTGTTAAGTTAGGATAAGTACTCTATTTGTTTAATCCCTGATTTGACTATTCAAACTAAATATTCTGAATCAGCATCGCTGACAATTCCTTATTTTTTTTTTCTTCTAATCCCACTAATAAATTTGGCACCTCTGTGTTTGACAATTCTCTTGTTCTGGATAAACAAACTACAAACTTTGCTTAACCTTGAAAAAGTTAGTCTTTAAACCCCAAGCAGACATTTATTTCTTCAAACTTGATGCCACCATATGCATATGTTTAGCATTCGACACTTAACAATTTGCTAATCCTTCCAAAAGTTTATTCTTTCTCATCTCAAGTCTCAACTATCTTTATCTACCACTCATTTGTTTGTCTCCTTACCTTATCCGGTTAGTTACCATTTATAGAAAATTACACAAAGGAAAAGAAGCAGCAAAGTATTCATTCCCGCCTCATAATCTTCAACAACTAACTTTCCTTTACACCAAACATCAAAAGCGAGACAAAGGTGGTCACAAATAAACAAAAATCAAGACATTCCAAAACCAAAGCTTACGCCAGAAAAAAAAAAATTCTCTTTAGAGTGAGCTACTCCAAAGATCACTTAGGACATTGATTCACTTTCTAGAAGACACCGGAAATACCCAAAATAAAAAGGAGAGAAGAAAGTATGCACAATGCACTAACTCTAAACCTACAATATGTTTGGGAGCTGTGAGTCCAATCTCTGCTGCAACTCTTTTACCTTCTGCTGAAGCTCTATCTTCTGTTCTTTATAGCTCTTAAGTAGATAATCTTTCCCATCTATCACTTCTTTAAGCTCACCCACTTCCTTTCTCAACCTCTCTATTCTATCTCCATCCCTTGACCCCTTCTCCGGTGACTCATAATTGTTCTCGCTGTCCATAAACCCGTTCACATGGCCACTCCAAGTTGCAACAGGAGATGCCTTGCCATTGCTCACGCTGTGATCAGCGATCGCTTTTCTCAGTCTCTCAACTTCTCTTTCTGATTCGAACAGATCTCTGTTCATCGAGTCTAGCTGTTCCTGGAGATGGCTAGAGTGTGACATCTGCGCGTTATACGAGTTTTGCAGCTCTAGAATCTGCTCCTGCATTTCCAGTATCATGTCGTCGCGCCTCTTCAGCTGTTGCCTCAGTTTCTGTATTACTTCTCGTTTGCTGAAGATGTCCGAGCTGGTTTCAGATACGCAAGGTGAATCCGAGCAGGTTGAATGGTGATTGTATGGTCTCGGGGGTAGTTCCAAGCGATCAGGAGAAGAAGTCCACATCACTCCATTCTCTTTGCTGTAAGATGGAGCAGGAACCGTCACAAGAGGCAGTGAAGTGTCAGATGCCGATACCATTTGCTCGTTTGTCTCCTCTTTTCCATCCACATTCCCAGTTCCTATAAAAAAGGAAAACAAAAGCAAAGTCTGATAAGATCTGACTGCTCTCGAATACATCGACAGAGGAAGAGGATTAAGAGATTTTGTAACTGCTGGCATTCAGCAACTAGACACAGCCCTCATTGGAGAAAACCTGCTTCCCTAGTCGCAGCCTCATTGATGCACTCATTAATTGATAATATGCCGCAGAGACCCAGGAATCATTAGGTTAAATCAGTCGATGGCCAAAACTTATAACAAATTTAAGCACTCTGCAACTTTCAAACTTCAAATATGAACATCAAGTATATATGTTCTCTAATCAGCCTTCAAAGACATCATTAGGCAAAAAGATCATAGACGCTAGAACTCTGTAGCATCATTTACACATTCTTCCAAAGAGGTTTCACTATATCTCACAGACACAACGTTTTCACTTCACGTGTTGATGAAAGGAAACCCAGTAAGAGATGATGCAAAGCCAATACAGAAAATTCATCTGTTAAAAAGAAAAGAAAGTTACAAAGTCAGACCTGGAATGGAGTGGAAGCAGGAATAATCATTATTATGAGCACAGGAAGAAGTGTGGGAGTGCAAACAACAACCTCCAGATTTTGGCCTCTCAGATGTACCATTGGCTGCACAACAAGAATCTTCCATTAAGAGATGACGAAAACTAGAGAAAATTTACAAAACATGTTAAGCACCAACAGAGAAGGCTAAAGCAAGTACCTTTTAACCCAACAGAGCCATTAGAATCAGGTTTGAAATGAAGCGACTGCTTAAGCTTGTAGCCAAAGCGAATGGACAAAGTACTCAACAAGGCTCCCCCAGCGATTAGGATCCAATTCGGCCCTCCTTGACCAGAAACTTTGTCAGCTCTCTGATGCTTGGAAAAGCCGTTTCTTGGTGTGCTCATTGTAAGTCAAAAACGTCTCTATCATCAAAAAGCATAACCTACATCAACGAGAAGCAAGAACACAGTATCATCATCAGATGAAAAAGAAAAAAAAAAGACAAGAATCGTCATCTACAGTCAACAAAACGATAAACAGTTAAAAAAAAAAAACCCATCGAATGCTTTAATAATACACACACTAAAGGAATCAAAAAGCAAAAGTTCAATCCAGTCCAGGAAGAGTAATGAATATGTTTAGAGAAAAGAGAGAAAGTCTCTTCCTTTATCCCCGAAACGGCAAAATATACAAAAGCACAAGGGATACTTAACGTGAACATGAAGCTAAATCAAAATCAAAAACTAGCATTAATATTCTTGATAAGAGGCTATTGATTGCTAAACCTTTAAACCTTAAGACAACACTAAACATCGCAATCAGAACCAGAAAGAAACGAAGGCAGAGAGACCATAAATCCGAGGGAAAAACAAAACTCAAAATCGATATAAATTGATTGAGAGAGTGAGTGAAGAGGAAGAAGAGATAATCGCAATAGGAACCTCATTAAGAACAAAAGAAATGGAGATTAGAGCTCCATCATCTCCGGCTTTTGACTTTTCGGGAACAATCTGAGTTTCCGGGGATGATGACTACTGCAAAACCCAGAAAAGAAGGAGAGAGAGAGGAAGAGGTTGAAGAAATAGCTCCTCCCACTCCTTCCTTCACAGTTTATCGATTTATTATTAAAGAAAAAAAGAAATAAAAATTAAAATCACCGCACGCGTACACCATGTCCCATGGATGACGCTCACGGTAGAGTAGCTACTAGTTAGATAGACATTCACCCCTCAACCTCAACACTTTTGACATGTTGTTTCTCTATGTGGGTTTAAATTATTGTATTTATTTACACTATAGAGTACTTTATTTATAGGATAGTCCTGGTGGTATACAACTAATAACTGCCAGCTCCATTCTTCTATCTGATAATCATTATGATTATATCCTAATCGAGAGATATAAAAATGAGTTTTACAACCATTTCAGACTTCAGAGTGCCAAAGGCAACCAACTCAACTGATTAAATTCAACACTTGACCAACTTTTATCAGCCTTCAAGATACCAACGTTCGCAACGTCAACGTGTGGACCTTTTCACTTTTTCATTTGTTCACAGTTCACTTCACCAAGATGAATCAAAAGGAAGCATTCGAAGCCGAAGCTAATACACAGAAACAAATTGCATTCAGAAGAGGGGTTGTTTCCTCAACTAATGACTTTTTAATGCATTTGCGGTCTCACTCTCTTATTGCGCGCAATCTTATTACGCTTGTGTCACAAGTACAAATAGCTGATGTTCGAGAGGAAGTCATCGCTGAGCTCATGAAACGTGGTAGTGGTTTTACGCATATTCGAGTGGGATCTGAAAAAAAACAAGCTGCAGATCGAGCAATTCATAAGAGAATTGACCACTTGATTGACAGTAACAAAAATAATTCAATTGATAGCTTTTATTTTTGAAAACAATATGTATATGAAACAATAATTTGAAAAAGAGTTGAAAATGACTGTTGAGATGGTTAAGTTAAGTTTAATTAGAAAACAAATCAATCTTTTCAGGGTATAGATAGTTGATAGGGAAGCTGATCTTTGGAAGTGAACTGTTTCCATCTTTTATCTGTGATTGTGTCTTCGAATGCTGGATTTGAAGATTCCTCTTTAAGATCGATATCTTCTTTTTGCAAGTGCATCTTTAAGGAGTTTGTAACAGTAAATGATTTTATTTTTTTGTGCACAATTTTTACGTTTTACATAATTTATTATAATAATATTAATCTTTCAATTTAATAGTTAAATCGTATTTGCTTTCTTTTGTACATATTTCAAAACGTAGTCAGTAATGGCTTTACTATTGTTTTGGTAATTGAATAGAATGTTAACAAATAAATTTTCTATGAATACAACGATACTCTTTCAAGGGAAAATACTTTATCTAACATTGATTTACTTGAATTGTGAGTCTTAAATCACCATATGTGTTTACTTGAATTGTTTCCATATGAGTTTGCTTGAATTGTGTCTTAAACCACTGGATACATATGCGTTTGCTTGAACTGTTTTCTATGTCTTGACATGGACAAACTTTTTCATCGTTTCATTGGATTCGGGATTTCAGACACACTTCAATAAGCTCATCCTTAAAGGTCACCATACGTTTATGATCTATGATCTAAACAACATTCTATGTTTTGGCTTTCTTACAGCTTCCAAAAGTTAAACCCATCAAAAAAAGTGATTGTAGAGCTTCAACAGCGCGCAATCTAAAGAAGTTTGGTTTATTTGACTGGCCAAGATATCTTTTTTCTCTACCTCTCTCTTTACTCTAACCTTGGTTTAACTTTGTCTAATGGGTTTTCCTAGACTCAGTGTTTATATTCCAAACTATTAAGTCTGTAATTACCTTTGAAATAGTCTTTCTTCAGACCCAAACCATTACAGCCTACTAAATCAATAATCTAATCTTAAGAAAAATTAAACCCTTTAACAAGAAAAAAAATAAAAACAAATTCAGAGCAACATAATATATAACCGGTAGTTGGGAGTAACAAAGTTTACAAAGCACCTCTAAAAGAAATTATATAACTCTAAATATGATTTTTTTGGTTCTCCAATAAGGAACTTTAAAACTTCAAATTTGAAATTTTGAATAGTGAAACTTAAAATATAGAGTGTCATTATTCAAAACTTCAAATTTGAAATTAAATATTTTTTATTTGCATGTTGGTCCTTACAATTACACATCCTATTTGTAATAATTTTAAATATTTATTTCTTTATCATTTTAATCCTTAAAAATTCTTATCTCATAAATAGTTCAAATTGTATAAATTTAAATTTTACATATGTTTTTTTTTAAATAGCAAAATAATCTTTAAAATATTTTAAATTAGAGATAGATAACAACAATATTACATGATTTAATGTTGTATTTTATTTTTAATTTAATATTTAATTATATAGTTTTATTTATAGTTTTATATGTTATTGTAACATTTTATCAAATAAAATTTCTATTATATTTTATACATGTGATAGTTATTTATATTTATTAGGAATTTAAATTAGATATGATAAATATAAAGACCATTATATAAAATACAAATGGTTTTAAAGTTATGTTTGAAATTTTGCTTTTGAAATATAACACTTTCAAACTTCAAGTATAGAATTTTGCAAACTCTATAATAGAAAGTATTTATGAAGATATTGTAACTAGCCGTATAAGGTCAGGATACAAACAAATGGCCAATTGCGGCATCAGTTTGAAAAAAAAAAGTGAGGTTGGGTTTAAAACCTAACTTTTCAAGGTTAAGCAAAATTTTGTAGTTTGGGAACAAAAAATAGGGAAAAATGTTTTTTAGGACTAAAACAATTAGAACATTAACCATATAGACTAATTTGAAATATATCATTTGTTGTTTAATAGTTTACGTTTTTAATTAATTAAAGCAAATATTTTGTCAAAAAAAAAGCAAATATTAAATAAGACATTAATAACTGCAAGTTCCATATATGCTGATCTATGTGATCATTATGATTAGTTAACTTGATCCATCTCTTCTCTAATGCTTTCTTCATAAGGAAAACAACGCTAAATAGACAATATATTTTAGATTTGATATATACCACATAAACTAAATAGATATGATTTTATAAAATTGTAGGATTTTGGATATGGTTATATATATATGACCATATATATTTATTATATAAGTTCATTTTCTGTTTAATAACTAATACCATATACTTAATATTACAGAAGTCCTAATTTGAAAACATTTAAACAATAAAAAAATTATTCACCGTAACGAACTTCTTATTCTTTTGGAATAGTTTATTTTTGCTTTTATTTTTGGAATAGTTTAAAGTAACCGAACGTTCTTAACTTCTTGTTGCATCTTGCGGCATCTTAACCTGTTAAAGAATGAAAATCACATCAACACTTCACCAACTTTATAAGCCATGAATACACCAGTGAATTTGACATTTTCATATATTCACTTCACCAAAATGATTTAAAAAAACAAACGATCAAGTGATCAAAGCATTCAAAGCCGATGCTAATACACCAAAACAAATTGTATTCAGAGGAGAAGTTGTTTCCCTAAAAAGATACAAAGATTCATGTTTTGTTGTCTCAAGAACAAGAAGAGTAGTTAACCAAGAGCTCTTGACCTAATGGTAATGAGCTCTTGACCTAATGGTAATGGAACTCCAGCCGAAGAGCATGTCATGGGTTCGAGTCGCATTGGTCACCTTTCCGCTTATAACTGTGTCTGTTCGGTAGAAATCTTCATAAAAATTAGTCTGGGCTTATCGTTTGGAACCCTCCATAATTATCAAAAAAAAAAGTAGTAGTAAAGAATTATGTCCATCCATAGGCTAAAGTCCGTGAAACATGGGCTTCGAGCACCAAATAACAACAATATCTCGTTTGTGTAGTGGTTAGAGAGCTTAAAAGTCTTCTAGAGATGTTCCTTTCTACTTATAATTGTGCTTGCCTGGATGGAAAACCTCGTGGGAATTGAATTAATTTGGGCTTATCGTCTGTAACTAGCTGCCACAGTTATCATAAAAAAAATAGTAGTAGTAAAGAATAATGTCCATCCCTAGGTTAAAGTCCGTGAAACATGGCTTCGAGCACCAAATAACAATAACATAATATTTTTATAAATTTGCTTTCGGTGTGTTATTACTCTGGATCAGCACTCTAAAGAATGCACAATACCAAACCTTTCTAACCTAAAAAATGTTGGGGACCTGCGAATCAAATCTCCGCTACAACTCTTGCACCTTCTCCAAAAGCTCTGCCCTAAAAGCTTCACGTCCTATATGTATTCCTTATATCTACACAATGAGGATTAAAACTCTACACGATGAGGTTTCAGAGAAGGTGCAAGAGTTGGAGCGGAGATTGGATTCGCTACAACTCTTGCATCTTTAAAGATGCCACATCAACATTAAAAACTATTTGAATTAGATTAAGTTTTGCAGCTTTTAGAGAAGGTGCAAGAATTTATTAAATACAAAAGTTCAAGCCATGGATAATTATGATCATAACAACACATGTTATTTCATGCGAGGGAAGTGTATGAGTGTAACGCCCCGACCGTCCACGGCTAATGGCCACCCACGCCCGCTCTCTCGGCCCGTGGGCCCCATCCCGTTCCAACGGTCGGTCCGTTAATTTTCCAAAGCTCTAGACTCATGTTTCCTGACCCTGCAATCACCACATGACCTTTCCCCGTGCTTTGGCCTCACTTACACGGTATCGCAACTCACTTCCCGATAGGTCACCCATCCTTTGACTACTCCAGCTCAAGCACGCTTAACTCTGGAGTTCTCTCTGGATGTGCTCCCGAAAAGGTAAGTGCACTTTGGTGACATAGGTAGACAAATCAATCCTCTTAAGCCTTTCCATATACCATTAAACCGGGATGTTACAAT